AATAAAGTTAAAAAAATGTAAGATGAATCTGAATCAAGTGCAGCTCGAGTTCAGCAGTCTGACAGCTGCAGGGAACAAATCATTTTTGAGCCTGGTGGTTTTGCTCTGAATGCTCATCAGCCACCTGCTTGAGGGGAGGGGCTGGAATAGAACATGTGTAGGACGAACGGAGTCTTCCATGACGCAGAGCACCCTCTCCCTGCATCGTGAAGTGTAGAGGTCCAAGATGGTGGGAAAGTTGCTCTCCACAGTCTTCTGTGCAGCCTTAACCACCCTCTGCAGAGCCACGCTCTCAGCAGCAGTGCAGATCCGCAGCTTCCTGAGGAAGTAGAGACACTGGTGGGCCTTCTTGACTAGGGGTTGAACGAGTATATAATTTTTAAAATCAACATTAACATAATAAAACCCGAGTAGAACTCGTGTATTTGATGACGTCATAGATCTCAAGATACAAAAATAAATAAATAAATAAATAAAACCACAAAAAAGGTAATTATTTTAAAAAAAGACCAACAAAACATTGGGAGCGTATATTATGCTCCTACCATTTATCATACTGCAAATAAGTCACAGGAAAAACTAAACCATTAGTTATTATTATTAAACTGCAAACGTGAAGAAACGCAGCACGTCAAAAACGAAACTTAAACCGAAACTGGTTCTGGTTCGGTGGACCCGGTGTTACACCAAACTCTGTGACCTGCAACAGTGCAGCACCGCCCCCTACGGTCACACGGTGGTCACATAATATGACGTCACTACGGATACTCAATGTTACATTTTTAACCTCGATAGATGTCCTAGCAATCGATGTGTAGATTACTGGAGTACTCTGTTAATGCCCTATTCTTGACCACACAGGAAGTGTTGGCACTCCAGGTGAGTTCACTGGATATATGCATCCCCAGGTACCTGTAGCAGGAGACTACCTCCACAGCTGCTCCACCAATGTGTAGGGGATGAAGAGGGTTCTTGTCCCTTCTGAAATCCACCACCATCTCATTGGTCTTCTTCACATTGATGCAGAGATTATTGTCTCTGGACCAGGTGTTCCACCTCCTCTCTGTATTTGGACTCATCATTGTTCATGATGCATCCCACTCCTGCTGTGTCATCCGCAAACTTCACTATATGGCAGCTGAGGTGTCTAGCTGAGCAGTCATATGTCAGCAGATTGAACAGGAGGGGGGTTAGCATGCAGCCCTGGGGTGAGCCAGTGCTGTGGGTGATGGAGGAGGAGACGTTGTTGTGGATCCTGACAGTCTGAGATCTGTTGGTCAGGAAGTCCAAAATCCAGTTCCCCAGTGTGGGACTCAGTACAAGAAAGGAGAGCTTCTGCACCAGGGTCTGTGGGATGATGGTGTTGAAGGCCAAGGAGAAATCCAGAAAGAGCAGACAGATGTAAGAATTTCTGCTCTCCAGGTGGGTGAGGGCTGTGTGGACCACCGATGAGATGGTGTCAGCAGTGGAGTGGTTCCTTCTGTAGGTGTACTGATGTGGGTCCACAGGGACGTTGATGGAGTGCTTGGTGTGGGTCATGACCAGCCTCTCGAAGCACTTCATGACTACCAATGTTCAGGCTATAGGTTGGTAGTCATTCAGGCCTGTCACTGTGGAGCACTTGGGTACAGGGACAATAGTGGCAGGCTTAAAGCAGGTGGGGACAACTGCCATTGACAGTGAGGTTTTGAAGATGTCCACCATCACCTCAGACAGCTGGTGTGCACAGTCTTTCAGTACCCGCACTGGGATGTTGTCGGAGACTGCAGCCTTACAGGGGTTGATTCCCTGCAGGGTCTTCCTCACATTTGCTGTGGTCACACAGAGGGGTGTGTCACCGGGTGGTGGTATAAGTCTGGTGCTGGGGGGTGTTAGGATCCTTAAAGCGAGCATAGAACTTATTGAGTGCATCTGGCAATGAGGGATCCCTTGGGCATTGTACATCCCTGATATCGTAGTTTGTAATGCACTCGATGCCCTTCCACATGCGCCGGGGGTCGTTGGTGAAGAAGTGACCCTGAATTTTCTGAGCGTATGTGGCTTTGGCCCTTGCAATGCCTGCAGTCAGTCTTTCCTCGCCTCTTGGAGTGCTGATGCCTCACCTGTACTGAATGCAGCATCCCTAGTTTTCAGCAGAGCTCTCATCTCAGCATTCAGTCAGGGTTTCTGATTCGGATAACAGGTTACTGTCCTGGTGGTTATGACATCATCAGCACACTTAGAGATGAAGCCAAGAACAGAGGAGGTGTATTCCTCCAGGTCCACCTCTCCCCCATATGTAGCCACCTCTCTGAAGACCTGCCAATATGTGCACTGAAAACAGTCCTGGAGCACAGAGTCTACATCCCTGGGCCACACAGTGACTGTCTTCTTTGTTGGCCTAATCTGTCTCATCAGAAGACAATATGCTGGCCCCAGCAGGAGTGAGATGTGGTCGGAGAGGCCAAGATGGGGGAAAGGAAGAGCTATGTATGCACCGTGAATATTAGTGTACACACAGTCCAGTGTGTTGTCTCCCCACATAGGAAAGGTGACATGCTGGTAAAAACTGGGCAGTGTCCATCGGTTTCACATGGTTAAAGTCCCCCGCAACCACGTAAAATGCCTCCGGGTGCTTATCTGCAGTGAGCTAATGGTGTCATAAGCTCCTTTGATGCTTCGTTAACATGAGCACCTGGCAGGATGTAAACAATGGTGACGAACAAGAACAAAGAACAGCACAGTTCTTCATCTCTGAGTCAGAATCAGAATGATCTTTTTTATCATTGCACAAAAGTAGAGCGAGATTATATCCGTACAATCATCTGAAAGATGGGCAGAGTGCACATTGCTGCTGCTCCTTAAAGGACGGCCCTTATTCTTTTGTAAAACTTTATTTCTCTATTCTTCTGTAAAATCACATCCTCAGATGTAACAAGCCCACTTTGTTACCCAGTGAGTGGACATTGGACAGAAAGAGAGTAGGAATCATGGTCTTTTTTATTCATTCAACCTTTATTTCTACAGGTAAATCCCATTGAGTCTCAAGGACTCATTTACAAGAGAGACCTGATTTAACAAAGAATGATGACAACAATGGACAACAGCGACAACAATAAACAGTTATAAAAAGTCATACTACATTTTTTTATTTTTTTAACAAATAGGATGGCTAAAAGAAAAAGGTAACCAAAAAAACAGCTAGATTCTAAGGCGAATGTATAAAACTAAAAACAGGAACATGTCAGCATTGGTCCCTGCCAGGAGTCCAACAGATTCTTAAAGACACTTAGAGAGGTCAAAGGTCGACAAGGTCGCCTTCTAGCCTTTAGGTGGGCCAACACGCCCGCCCGCTTCCCCCTCTTCCGTTTCCAGTCACATCATTTCTTTTTGACCGTTGCTCCTCACACTTTGCTGCACCGTTCCGTTGTCCTCAGGAGCCGCTGTCTGCTGAGTGCAGATTTCAGCCTCGGTGATATATCAATACCCGAACTGTCTCTGATGGCCATCAGTTCGGTTGAGCTGTACTTGAGCCATGAATTTAGCACTGAACTAGTGCCTAAAACAGCTCATAGGAATTAAAGTAATTAAAATAAGGTTTAATCTCGGGAGCATGAGAAGTCGCTGCACTTCTGTGTGCCTGCATAGCAACATTCCTACTCTGCTCCCACAACATGGAACACCTTGCATCAGGAACTTAAGTTGTCCACCTTGATTTCTTTAAGGGGTTTCAAACATTTGAAAATGTCAATAGAAAAATCAAAGCAGACATGTTCTTGTTTTTAGTATGTCGCCCTGTTTAGGTCACCCTGATTTAATGTTTTATACACTTCTTCTATTTTAACTGTAGTTTATTGTCATTGTTTACTGTTGGGGCAGCACGGTGGCGCAACTGGTAGAGCTGATGCCTCTCAGTGAGAAGGTTGCCGGTTCAAATCCCGGTCCGGGGGCCTTTCTGGGTGGAGTTTGCATGTTGTCTCTGTGCATGTGTGGGTTTTCTCCAGGTACTCCAGTTTCCTCCCACAGACCAAAAACATGCATGTTAGGCTGATTGGTAACTCTAAATTGTCCCTGGGTGAGAGTGCGAACGTGAACGGTTGTTTGTCTCATTTGTCTCTATGTCCCTGTGATGGACTGAAGACCTGTCCAGGGTGTCCCCCGCCCTTCGCACAGTGATTGCTGGACATGGGCGTGACCCAAGATAGAAGAAGCGGGTAAAAGATAATGGATGGATGTTTACTGTTATTATTGTCTGTACTTTATCTGTTGTGTCTGGAACAGGTGTCTCTTGTAAATGAGTCCTTGTGGCTCAGTGAGACTAACCTGTAGAAATAAAGGTTGAATGAATGGAAAAAAAAAGTCAGGTCCTCTGGAGAATTTGTTAGGTTACACGTAAGAATTCACAGAATTCACATTATTATTATTTAGATTTAATTCATTTTTTTTATTACAATCCTAGTTTCAATAATGGGTCATGAAAAATTGTAAAAAATAAAAAAAGAGAATGCATTGATTTACAGATTGTCAGGAATTTCAGGCTGAGCTGAACAAGAACGAACCCATGTGCAGACAGGGCGCCGAGGCCAGGACGTAAAATAATAATCACTTTAATAATCAAAAAATAAATAGCTGACGTGGCAGCAAAACTCACAGATAGGATCAGGTCAGAGTTCTACATGGAACACAGGAGACAAACCAGGGGCTGAACCAGATGATGCACCGACAAGGACTGAAGGACTGAGACACAGACCAGAGCTTATATGCACACAGACTGGATGAGACAAATTACAAACACCTGGAGGACACGTGGGTGGAGCTGATCGGGGTAATTACTGAGAAACACTAGGGAGTACAGACACAGCGAGACTGACAGAGGAATACCATCCTTACACAGATCTCAAACTAATGTTTTATTCATTTATTAACCTGTTTAACCAAACAAATCCCTCTGAGGTCTCAGATCTGTTTGTAAGGGTGACAAGGGTTGTGCTTTTGGATTTGAGCAAGACGCCAGACAACAAGAATGGTTTAAAAGGTTTATTGTCAAACAGCTGCTGGTGGAGGTCAGAGTCCCGTGTCAAGCCCAATTTGCAGAGACATGAAAGTTTAGTGGACTGAATGTTTCTGTGAGGATGGAGGTAAACATAAAAACAGCCACTAACCTTCTCATACAGGTAAGGTGGGAGCCATCTGTAGGAGCTGGGCAGGGTGACGTCACCATCACCGGCAGGAACGCAGCTGAAGAGCAGGACTGAGAGAGATGTGATCCAGAGGGAGATCCAGAGGCGAGAACCAGGCGTGAAGTTGGGGGTCCTACACAGGGTGTCCGAGAGCCAAGTGTCATGGTTTGCG